TACTACAAGGATTTATGAATTCTAATGCATTTACACTGATTGAAATTATAAGCTTGATAGAAGGAAAAGAACTTTCAAATATTGCATATGGCATATGGAGTAAGCATGAATATCTACCTTCATACTTTGAAAGTGATTCTGAGGAAAGTACAAGTATTACGTGAAATCAAAGTTAATTTGATATTTTATATGTGTAATAAAAATCCAATTCATATGTCTATCACAAATCTTTCAACAAAGTACATTTTATGCATTAAGTATCTATTGAGGTGGAAATTGTATATCCTTGACAATTTGAAGTTCTTCTTATACAAATGATCTTTTCGGTCCATCAAGTAATTTGTAAAGTACTGGTTTATTTTTTTGAGTAATAAATTTTTTAATAAGATAAATCTGTGGGGACCAATACGCATCTGTAACATGACGTCTTCCACTTTCTAACTCACCTGGTTCGAGCAAATATCGTACTGAATCATTGTAAGATAATCGAGGTTTATCAAATCCTATAGGGCCATTATGAGATAAAGAAGATTTGACAATAACCAGTTTCTTTTTTATTACCTCCATAGGACTTATTCCAAGAAGTCGAGTTATAGAATTATTGAGATCTTTAACAATAATCGAAAGATTCTTAACCCAGGCTCGAGATCTCTCAGATAAAGGTAGCAATAAATCAGAAGCATCTTGTAATCAGAATAATCTTTTAGCTAATATTCGATTAAATCTTTCAATGATACTTTGACTGCGATGTAATGTGCCTAACTTAATTTTTACATCATATTTAATCATTAATTCTTCACATTTTTCACGAAACTCAACGCCCTTATCAATATGTAACAATTTTGACTAAACAAGAGGGTATTCAAGGTTATTATAAATTTTTTCAAATGCTTTAGCAACTTTGTAAGAAGTACGATCTGTCAGAAGATATGCATTTTTAAACCTACTGGTCACATTAACTATTGCAAGAATAAAACGGTAAGTCTTATTTCTAATCCGATCATAAGGCATATAAAGAAGGTCTGCTTGATGGCATTCGTTAGGAATTTGTATTGTATTAAATGATGCTTGAGGAATATACTTTGGAGGTGACTTGTAAATCTGAAAAACGGCTTGCTTATTTAACCAGTCTTTTATATCTGTTAGCAAAAAATTATAACCAGCTTTTTTACAAACATCTTTTATTTTTTCAGCAGTTCGATAATAGCCTTCAAGTCGGTAATATATTTTTTGTAAAGTAATACCCCTATCTAGTTCACGAGCTCTTCTGGGGTCAATATAAATTACAGGTTCTCCTATTACTTATTGCGAAACAATGAAACTTCGTTTCTGATTTATTATAAATAACAAAAATTTATCATGGATGAATTAATACAGACGAATTAGGAACTCCATGAGGAAATCGAGCAATTAGCAAAATCAAACTGAGAATATGAGTGTCGAACTTATAACCTTGAACGGGATATAGTTTTACGTGAAAAAAGAATTCAGTATCTTGAGGAGGAGTTAGCAAATACAATCGAACTTTCTATACAAGAAAGGGTGAAGCTGGAAGAGGAGATTAGAGATTTAAAAAAGATTGTTTACAAGCTTAAAAAAGAAATCAAGCAAAAAGACAAGGAAATTATTACTAGAGAAAATCAACTAGTAGAATTTGATGTAAGGGAGAAGAAACTCAAAACCCGAATTCGGAAAATATCCAAATCAGCAGGTAATACTTCCAAAACATATATAATCAGACTGCAAAGCTAATAGATGAGAATGAGCATTTGAAACGTGAAATTGATACTTTAAAATATAATCTTAAAGATCGAGACAATAAATTAGTTCAGAAAAAAACTCGTATAACTGATTTGCATTGCCAAAATTTTGGTATTAGGTTATTGCATTATCGGGATAGATTGGAACTTGTCAATATCCGAGAAACTTTAAGAGTTATAGAAGCATAGAATATAGGTAATGAATCAAATTCGAAAGAAGATTCAGATGAAAATTCTCAAGATAGTAATACTTCCGATTTAAATATGACCACAATACCAAAATTAGTCGATACCATAGATGGCTATTTAGATAATACTAGAATAAACAAATCCGTTCTAATCAACCAAATAAAAAGAGCTACAAGACAGATTCGACGAAAATATACAAATGATTAAACTTATTTAATAAATGAATAGCAGAATCGATATAATGCTGAGACAGAGTGGGATTTGTGACAAACCGATTTGAATAATGCCTTGAATGATCTTAATATAATGACAATGGCATATAACAATGAAAGAAATACATGTCAACAGTATTTTTTAAAATTATAACAATGTCGTATCAGAATATATACGTTGGGAAATGATTTACATTTATGTGATATTCAGCTCAATCTTAAATGGGGTAAGTGAAAAAATAGAACTCAAAATGCTGAGCAAATAATTTTAAATTTACAGGGACAAATTTTATTACTACAGAATAATCCACTTTTAAACATGGCAGAAGCAAGACGTTTACCAGTATTAAAATTAATG